TATATATATATATATATATATGTATGTATGTATGTATTTACGTATAAATATATATATATATATTTATTTATTTATTTATTTATATTATAGAGAGAGAGAGAGAGAGAGAGAGAGAGAGAGAGGGAATTCGACTCCACACACAGACGAATCAGCCGGATGAAGACGTCGGTGGGAAGAGGAAGACGAGGATCCTCGGCAGGGAGCTTCTCTGAAGGAAAGCGAGGACGTCATCAAGCGGGACCTTGGTGAACAGGGAGTGGACATCCAAGCTCAGCATGGACTCCGGCTTAAAAGAAATCTCTCGTTCCTGTTTGCCTTTTTCCCCGACTTGGTTCCTGCCTTTCGTGCTTTTGAGGCTTCTGTCATCGCCAAGGCCCGACGGAAGAATCAGCCTCGTATCCTAAGAGACTGCCTCGAGGAGCAGGTGATCCCCTTCCTCGATCTACAATCTCTTGAAGCACTCGCATGAAGGATCTCCCTTTCCGGATTATGGTCGTTCCCTCCTTGAACGGATCCGCGCTGGTAAGAGGGATGTCGAGCATTCCTACTATCGATCGAGGGTTCGTTCTGACCTGAAGGAACGGCTCCCCGACCACGTCTTCCAGCTCATAGCTGACGTGGCCCATGATTCTTCCCGGTTCTTCTCCACCGCCCATGTCCGCTCTCTCATCCAGCAACTCTCCAACCTCACCTCCCGTAGTCCCTGGTCCTGCTTCTCCTTCACCGACGCTTTCACCAACCTATCCTCTCTGTCCTTGACCCCTCACCAACAACTCCTTGGCTTCGGTCTTTTGTTCTCCGCCCTATCCCCTTACCTCCATTGACATTATTTCTTCCTTCGACCTTTTCATCTCTACCCATAGGAATTCCTTGCCTGATGTCTCCCTCCTTCGTGAGGCCTTCCTCCCGACCTTCGAGTCCCTCCTTCACCCTAACCCTTCCATTCCCAGATGTTACTGTGAGGCCCTTCACAGCCTGTGCAGGGAGGATGTCACCATTTTGCCTTCTGACAAAGGCAACTCGGTGGTGGTCCTCGACCGAGCCTCCTACCTGCAGAAGGCCCAGGACCTGTTAGGTGACAGGTCCCATAAGCCAGCCGTGCCTCTGCGCCCCATCATTTCCACCCGGGGATCTGTGACACATCCTCTGGCGGCTTGGCTGGCTAAGTCTCTCACTTCCCTTCTTGGCACCTTTTCTCCAGCTCAGCTTCGCCACTCGCAGGACTTCATCTCCCGTGTCCGTGGTGTCTCGCCGGCGCCCATGCTGAGCTTGGTTGTCAACTCCCTGTTCACCAAGGTCCCGCTTGATGACGTCCTCGCTTTCCTTCAGAGGAAGTTCCCTGCCGAGGATCCTCATCTTCCTCTTCCCACCGACGTCTTCATCCAGCTGATTCGTCTATGTGTGGAGTCGAATTCCTTCTCCTTTGAGAGTCGCTTCTACTCACAGACGTTCGGTGCTGCCATGGGCTCTCCCCTCTCCCCTGTTCTGGCAAACCTGTACATATAGTTCTTCGAGTCGGAGCTCCTCCCCTCCATCTCCTCTCGTCCTTCCATGTGGCTGAGACACGTCAACTACGTCTTTGCTCTCTGGCCTCATGACCTGCTCTATTTCCTGATTTCTTGTTGCAGCTGAACTCTCTCTCACCTTCCATCCGTTTCAAGGTGGAATGGGAGGTTGACAACAAGTTCCCCTTCTTGGACACTCTTGTCCATCGTTCTGCTGATTATTTCTCTTTTTCTTTATACAGGAAACCTATGCACAATGACATGTACATACACTTCTCGTACCATCCGCTGCATGTGGAGAGAGGGGTTGCCACCTCGCTGTTCCTTTGCGCCCTCCGCATCTGTGACCCCAGTACCTGGATGGAGAGATCGATTTCCTTTGTCGTTCGGTCTCCAAACTGGGCTACCCTAGCCATGTTCGTGTGTTTTCTTGTCCTTCCCTTCGTTGTTCCTGTTACAATCTGTTCGTCATGAATTCCACTCATCAGCCTGCCTTACACTGATGAGATCTACTCTATCTGTCAGCCCCTGCAGACTCTCCTTTCGCCAGGTGAACACTCCATCGCAACCTGGTTCACACCTGCCCTCCCTCTACCTCGAAGGTGGGCACCTATGCTGTTCCGTGTGCCTCCTTTGATAAGCAGTATTTTGGTGAAATAGATGTCTTACTAAGCGTCTGTCTCAGCATAAGCACGTTGTATCCAGGGGACACAACAACAACGGCCTCTTCTGCTATCAGTGGGACACTGGCCATCAGATGGACTGGAAAGCAGTGCGCATTGTCTTCCCTTCCGCTGATGTCCACGCCCGCAGATTGGTGGAATCTTCCCTGATTAAGCTGCTGCCCAATTTCAACCTGAACAGCGGTTTTTCTCCGGCCGACAGCCTCCTCGCCTCCCATATCCACTGCCTGCTACCTTATGCCGGTCACCCTTCACATAGACCGCTGGATCTTTCGACCTGACCTGACCTCCCTTCGTTTTCGTTCTCCTGGCCTCACCTGCCCCGCGTTTCCCGAGTGCCTCTCATTCTCTCCCTCTTATATTGCTTCCTCTCCCTTTCCTCCTCACGCCTCCAGGCTAGTACACTGGTAACGTGCCGTCCTCTCATCCGAGGGATCGGCGGTTCGCGCCCCGCCCAGGCGCGAGAAGTTGCAATTATCGCCCGGAGGTTACTGCTGTGGCTGAGCACCACGGCGGGTAAGGACTAAGCTCTGTAGCGTCAGCGCTTGCTGACACACAGTGATCGAGTCGACATCTGTCGGCACAGGCCGGGCTCCCCCATAGCCCGGGCGAGGCTCAGCTTCGCATATCGGACTTATCCTTATCCTTATCCTTTCCTCCTCAGACCCGAAGATGGAATCGAGGACGATTCCGAAACTGTTGTCTCACTTTCTTCATTAAATATAGTTTGTACATTGTGGGGGTTTCTACCATAGTATCAACACGGTAGAGCGTTTTTCCATTCACACACACACATATATATATACACATATATGCATATATATATGCATATTTACACACACAGTATATACTTATATATACAGTGTGTATATATATATATATATATATATATATATATATATATATATATATATGTATATTTGTATATAATATACATATATATATTATATATATACATATATATACTTTACATAAGTATATATATATATATATATATATATATATATATATATATATACATGGTCATGGCACTTTTGGAGTGTCTGGCTCGGATCCCCCACCACTGAAAATGTCTGCCACTGCTTAATTCTGATAAAGTGGGCCTCACTGATGAATTTGAAGTCGGTTTCAAGTTGTTACCCCATGAGCTGATCTAGCCTATTTTGGTGACTCTTTTTTGCTCTGGCAGGGGTACCCCACCACGAAAAATGTGTCATTGGTCATTTCTAATACATTTTATCATGTTTATTACATTTTGACTTGTTCTTTCTTACAAGAGCTAAGCTACCTCAAATTTTCTATATATTATCCTGCCCCTGTGTATTACACCCACCGGCAGGGAACCGGCAGACGTCCATTTCTTTGTTTGTCCAAGTATATACATCATTGCTTGCCACAACTAATTTTGTTACCTTTCCAGCTAGGATGACCCCTGCGGGCTCCCGGTCTACATCTCCCCAGCAAATTGCCCAGTCGATACCAAAGTTTTGCAAAATTAAGGAGAAGACTTTATTGGCTGCCTCAAAGACCAAGACGTGAAATCAGTACCTTGCTACACCTCTCTTCCTTGAGGTCATGGAAAGAAACCGATCAACATTGCCAAAATTCGCATGTGTCCGGCGCAGAACCGTGCTTTCACTCTCAGTGTCAGTTCCGTCTCCGTACCGTGATTTTGAATGTCGTCAACGAAATTTCTTAGAGAGAGCGTTCCATCAACCCCGTGAACAAGCTTCGGCATGTTCACGGCACGGACACGGAACTGACACTGAGAGTGAAAGCACGGTTCTGCGCCGGACGTGCGAATGCGTCGGCCGAATGCAAAGTAACGATATTTTTTTCACTGACACTGACGGACTGAGCGGACGCGGCACTGATACGCCACTGATGTGTGGCGTTCCATCAACCCTACAAGAGAACGTTCCATCAACCCTATAAGAGAGCGTTCCACCAATGCTTGCGCCTATATCTATATCTTTCTACCTATATTATTGCCATGTCGAATTAAAAGGGGGAGGAGGATTCCTTAGTGTGAAGGAGGGGAGAGAAGCGTCTGAGAGCGATTTGGCTGAAAACCTCACCAGCCTCTCACCCAAACCTTCCTGGCCAGAAGTCTACTGAAATATCCTTAAATATTTAATAATCTGCCCTCTGGTTACCATTATATGCAGCACTTGACTCTCATGGACACCAGTGTAAACGAACAAACAAAATGTTTACTGTTTTTTTCTTTTTACTTACAATTTCAAACCAGCTTTGCGTGATGCGTGTGTTCTTCCCAAAATCCTTACTCCCAATGGGGCACCGAGGCACCGGTCACGTGACTACACCATCAAGTGAACGTTCGACTGGACAAATGGTTCGGAGCTCCGTTGAATAGCCCCAAACTTTCGCACCTGTAGAACAACGTAAAAGATTTTTGTACACGGAAATCTGTTTGTTGAGATATATGTGCTACATGTTAAATGGATGTGATTATATGTAGATAGTTTTCACGTGACGTCACCAGTAAGGCGTCCGCCATTTTGAAGGCAGTGGAGGCTTGAAGCTGTTGTGTGTCAATTCCTTCCATTTGCTTCTCTTATTTCTGTGGATTTATTAATCGACTATGGTGAATCACTGTCGTGTCTGTGGATGTCATAGCCGGCAAAATCGAGTCTCATTTGGAATTTTATTAGCCGAAAATAATTCGAAATCAAGAAGAAAAGACAAGAATTGAGTGAGGAAAGACGACGTGTGTGTCTTTCTCGCCTGAATCAGAATCTCGAAGGAAAGACTTGGACAACATCAGGATGTGATCAGCTCTTTTTTTTTTTTTTTCAAACATTCTCTTTAGAGGAGAAAGTCTGGATACGTTATCCTTGGCAGCCCATTCCAGTCAGCTGATAAGTTTGCGACACCGTACGGATCTATGTGACTGATTATCATCCGGTTTGTTAGCATTGTGCGAGGTCCGACCCAGTGAATCTTCTTTATACAAATATGCGTATACACAGAAATAAATTCATATCCGTTCATCTAACAGATATATGTACATTTATCTCTATGTATATGATAGATATGCATGTCTAGACAAACAGATATACATCTATTTCAGTCATGTGATGTGAGCGCAAACACTATTTTTGAAGAATTCCATTTCTGAGATTGAACGTCTGTCGGTGAGTGCAACAGCTGAGGATGTCCACCAACACCCGCCGTGCGATGTGATGACCCATTCCCCTTCGTAGGGGATGACGGAGGTAATCGTGGAAGACACAAAGACATACACATACACACTCTCTCAAATACACTTGCATTCAAGCACACACGCACGCAAACGCACACAAAAGCATACACACACAGTAAACGTAGCCTGTGAGCGATAGTGTGTAGATAAATCGAGTCTGGCAGGATGCAGTAACCTTGAGTACCAGTGAAGCATCAGCTGACGTCTTGGTAACTTACAACAGTTCATTGACGGGAGATAGAGATATACAGCTGACGGACAGAGGCTCAGAATACCACAGGCTTAACGTTAACCCTCACCCAGAACCTCTTGTGAGCCCCAGCCCCACGTCACTCTTCCCGGGTAATGCGACAACTTACCCGAAACTGATGTTATACGAGTTGTGCGGCGCTGCAAGCACACAACCTGCAAACGCAAGCGAGCTGAGCATACCTCCTTAGTCGGCCGGGCGTCAAACCCCCCCCCCCTCAAAACCCCCATATTCACCTGCAGCTGAGATGAGCAACAAAGAAGCACACCAGAAACAGAAAGAGGAGAAAAAAGCGGAATGACAGAAGGGAGAACGCCAAGCAAAAAAAAAAAAAAAAAAAAAAAACACAGTTCCCCCTCCACCAACGACACCGAGTGCGAGTGGAGTGTTGCAAGTACCACCACGTGTTCGGTGCTCCCCAGTCTGACTAGTAACACGGCTTCTGTTGTGATAAATGATAACAACAGTCAAAACATTGCAAGACAGGAAGCGTCTAATTTAAGCAATGTGGATGCGGGTGGGTTTAAATTCGTAGAAAAGGGGGAAAAAAGAGAAAAAATAAAGATCTAATGTCAAATCCCTACAGGGGGGACCTATACACTACAGACACATAGGAAGTAGATATGGAGAATCATCTGATCGTCAATTATTCAAAACAAAAAAGAGTCATTTATATTAATCCAGCTTCACTGTTTCACTTAACCAATGAGCCAAACAACTATTTACTAATATCTGACGTGCCGACGGAGCGGGCAGAGCGGTAAGCACTCTCCGAAGGGACGGCGGGTCTGGGACAAATATTGTACATATAATGATTCATACACACACATTACTTATTACGCACAACGGGTTTTCACAATCTTTAAGCCGTAAAAACTAACACTCCCCGTGTGTAAAATGAAAAGGAGCCTAGGCGCAACTGAAAACAAACGCATAAAAAGTAATATTTAATATGGTAGCTTGGACAAATACATAAAAGACAAAAGTATAAGAGATCTTGCGTATACTGCTGGTGTACACATTCCTTATCTTACAAAGCAGCTTCGAATCCTCCGTTTGTCACCGTGCAACACAATGATAATTGCATAAAGTGAAAAATGCAGCTCGACTACTGCCTCTATATATACAAAGGCTACTCTAGGCATGCAATCAACCGTAAGGATCTCTGGCTTACTGCTAGCATACTCTTGCTCAGGTAAATTAACCCGTCGATTGGGAGAGAGAGAGAGTACCTGTAGCCCGGCCCGTGCGAGCGTGACTCTCCGTTTCATCTCCCACACCTTCGTCAATGCTTCGGAGGCGGAACAAGCAGGTAAGTGTTTTATAGTACTCGAGGCTTTTGAATATTGAATAAAACTGTAAATATTTCTATGGATTGAGGATTGTAGTAGAAACAAAGGTACAAACAAAACAAAGTATATAAATTTATATTATTGTGAAAAGAGAATTGCGTCGCTTCAATGTCCACTGAGGTTGTCTTAGTGGTTTCACACGGTGGAGGTCCAAGGTGGTCGTGGGCAGAGATTCCAGGCGTACAGCCCTGCCATAAATAGCCTGGGACCCCAAGTTGGTTGACATTATCAGCTTGGTTATCACTTAAAATGTCAACTGACCATTTCATAACATATACCTTATCTTATATAATTGAAGTTTGTTAACAACACACCCAATAATCATTCACTCACATGCACATATACTTTGATAATGTATATACTTTTCTATTTACATCCTCATTTGTAGGAATACATGTATATATCCCATTGTTTGATTATCATGTCTTGTCAAAATTGCCAAAAATCAGTCTTAACTGACAGACTAAATACCCTATCTATCAAATTCACCAAATTGCTAGCCTATCTGAGCAGGGTATACAAGTGTCACTATACTGGATACCTTCTCATATATGAATATCAACAAGTGATAAGGTGGATAAGATAGCAAAACAAGCACTTTCTCGTGAAGAGTTATCAGCTGTTTTCGAGCCAGAAAGTCTCAAGGTCGTCTTTTGGTGGAATGATATATTTTATAGTGTTGCAAGGGACTGTATCTTTGATAAAAATAACAACGCCACCACCGCTTTCTAATTTTGTTGAATGAGTGGTACGCCTGTACCGGTCCGAGGTTTCATATATTGGTCTTCAACCATAATTTTGTGATATCTGCAATATCGCGCGTGTGTGTGTGTTTGCTTTTGCGTACGTTTGCGTGCGTGTGTGCTTGAATGCAAGTGTATTTGAGAGAGTGTATGTGTATGTCTCTGTGTCTTCCACGATTACCTCTCATCCCCTACGAAGGGGAATGGGTCATCACATCGCACGGCGGGTGTTGGTGGACATCCTCAGCTGTTGCAGTCACCGACAGACGTTCAATCTCAGAAATGGAATTCTTCAAATATAGTGTTTGCGCTCACATCACATGACTGAAATAGATGTATATCAGTCTAGACATGCATATCTATCGTATACATGGAGATAAATGTACATATATCTGTTAGATGAACGGATATGAATTTATTTCTGTGTATACGCATATTTGTATAAAGAAGATTCACTGGGTCGGACCTCGCACAATGCTAACAAACCGGATGATAATCAGTCACATAGATCCGTACGGTGTCGCAAACTTATCAGCTGACTGGAATGGGCTGCCAAGGATAACGTATCCAGACTTTGTAAATGATTCATTATTTACATGAAGCCCTTACACATCCGAAGATCTGATGTATTACAAAGGCCTCCCTTCCTGAAATATAAAATAAACCATAGTCGATTAATAAATCCACAGAAATAAGGGAAGCAAATGGAAGGAATTGACACAAGAGCTTCAAGCCTCCAATGCCTACAAAATGGCGGACGCCTTACTGGTGACGTCACGTGAAAACTCTCTACATATAATCACATCCATTTAACATGTAGCTCATTTATCTCAACAAATAGATTTCCGTGTACAAAAATCATTTACGTTGTTCTACGGGTGCAACAGTTTGGAGATATGCAACGGAGCCCCGAACCATTTGTCCAGTCGAACGTTCACTTGATAGTGTTGTCACGTGACCGGTGCCTCGGTGCCTCATTGGGAGTAAAGATTTTGGGAAGAACACACGCATCACGCAAAGCTGGTCTAAAATTGTAAGTAAAGAGACAAAAACTGTAAATATTTTGTTTGTTCGTTTACACTGGCGTCCATGAGAGTCAAGTGCTGCATATAAAGGTAACCAGAGGCAGATTTCTAAGTATTTGAGGATATTTCAGTAGACTTCTGGCCAGGAAGGTTTGGGTGAGAGACTGGTGAGGTTTTCAGCCAAATCGCTCTCAGACGCTTCTCTCCCCTCCTTCACACTAAGGAATCCTCCTCCCCCTTTTAATTCGACATGGCAATAATATAGGTAGAAAGATATAGATATAGGCGCAAGCATTGGTGGAACGCTCTCTTATAGGGTTGATGGAACGTCCTGGAAACATGGCCTGTACAATATAATATGTATTATATTTGCCTTACATTTCTTTATACTATTTGTTTCTGTATAACTATGCCATTGTATGATACACCTATTTATTGATGTTGCCTCCCATACCTGTATATTTAGTGCACATGACGTAGCAACATTATCAATGGCCACGTGGTATCAAGGACTCCTCTGACGAGAAATCGTTAAAGTAACGAACTCATTGCTTTCCCCCCGAATGAATTGTCAACATTTAAACAAAGACAAATGAGTGTTATAATTTACTCTATTTGTTATAACACTAAAATTTGCTATACTGATATACCTTTAGATTTATAAAAATATGTAAAATGTTTCAGTGACGAATGTGCATCTTTGAAATCAGAACCAGCACACCTTTTTAAATGTCGAATGAATAATGAACTCGACATATTTTTTTTTCAGATAAGATGAATATTCATTATTAAGCATCTGTATATAAGAAAGTGTACATATTATCGTCAGTTTACGATTTATTGCATTGAAAGCCTAATGCTTCTCTCATTTTTCTCCACAGAAACCATGGACACCAACGAAATTATTGTAATTATTTACATCATTATCATCCATATAGTGGTGATGTTGTGGAATCACAGAATACAGTTAACTATAACGAATGACCATATTCTTATTGATATTCGGCCAGTTATGAATTTCGTAGATATTATTTGCATCACTATCATCTATATTATGGCAATTTTTATGAATCGCGGATTAAAGTTATCCATAATGCTCGATTGTATTCATATTAATTTACTGACTGGCATGATTACTGCAGAAAGGACTGCGAACATCAACAGATTAATTTTACTTATTATTTGCATGACTATCATCTGTATTGTGGCAAAGTTGAGGAATCACGGTATAGAGTATTCCGTACAGCATGATCATATCCTTATTGATATCATACCCCGTGAAGAAATTCCAGAGATATAATTTGCTACTCGAACGGCATTATCATTATCATTATAATTATCAATTATCAATAATTATCAATTACTTCCGTAAACCAAGGAATTAAGTAATGTCCTGACGCGCAAATGGTTAAGTGGAAAGCATTTTTTTTGAGAAACGAAGTCATGTTCTAAAAAAAATCTAAAATAAATAGATACATAGATGAATAAATGTTCTAAAAATGTAAAAATAAAATAATAATAATAATAAAAAAAATTCTGAAAAATGTTCAAAAATAGATTAAAAAAAATAAAAAATAAAAAAAGCACCATGGTTACTGGTGCACCACTATAATGAAATTCGATGAATTCGAGTATATTGCATTTTATTGCTGCCCTGAGTAAGAATATAAAATATATAAATCCCACTTCATGACTGACACAATTCCAATAATAATCTTTCAGATATATCCAAGCAAGAAAGTGTTAATCTGTGCCTTAATCTTTCAATGAAAAAAAAACACTCATTTCTATCTAAAGTGATTATATTGCGATATATTTCATATAAAATCGTTATTTTTCTTAACAATGGATAAGAATGGATAATAATGGATAATGTGGAGTAACTGTAAGATAATCCTTTTCCGTATTTTGTCTTGCGTCACTACCCAGCCAATTGATGTTATTTGATGGCACTAATATAACATTACATATTCAGTTAATTCACTTAAAAGATGATATTGTATTATCTAAAAAATAATAAAAATTGTCTTCTATGTTGTATTTTCTTGCTATCCTTGGTGAATGGTTGTAAAATATACAAATCACAATTTATGACTACCACAGTTGTAATAAATATCTTTCAGAAATGTCTAACCAAGAAAGTGTTGATATATAGATCACTCTCCATGAAAACACATTACTATCTATAATGAGTATATCGGAAAAAGAAAATCAAATCATTAATTTTCCGAAAAATGGATACTACAGTGTGATAGGTTGTGCGTGAAAATTTCATCTTATATACACATATTGCGAAATGTTTCATATCAAATCCTTTTTTTCCTAATAATGGATACTACAATGTGAGAAAATGTGTGAGAATACATATAAATAATCTGATACATATATATATATATATATATATATATATATATATATATATATATATATATATATATTATTTATTTATTTATATTTATATATATATATATATATATATTATAATATATATCTATATTATATTAATTATATATATATTATATAGATATATATATATATATGTATATATATATATATGTATATATATATATATTATATATATATATATATATATATATATTCAATATATATTATTATATAATATATATATATATATATATATATAGTGTGTTGTGTGTGTGTGTGTGTGTGTGTGTGTGTGTGTGTGTTGTTGTGTGTGTGTGTGTTGTGTGTTGTCTGTGTGTGTGTGTGTGTATATATATATATGTGTATATATTATATATTATTAATATGTACTATATATATTATATATATATACAATATATTATATATACTTATATATAGACTATATTATATATATAATATTATATTATATATTATATATATTATATTATATATATATTTAATATATTATATATTATAAATAATATATTTTTATTATAACAATATTATACTATATTAAATGTTATATACAATAATATTATATATATATATATATATATATATATATTATATAGTCTACATAAGAGACATATTCGGTTAATTCATCTATAACTATGATTACTTATCTGAAAGTAAAAGCAAAAAACTAAAATTTTTGAAAAAAATAATGGAATCACAGAATACCAAATACATATAAATATATATATAGATTATTATATATATATATAATTACTATAATAAATATATATACCATTATAATAATATATATTTAAATATGTACGATAATACGATATATATATTATACGCTATACATATATATAATATAATTATATATAATAATTTATACTAATATTTACTAATACATATATATACAATATATAATATAATTAAGTATATATAATATATATATATATATATAGTTATATATATATATATATCTATTATATATATATATATATATTATATTATATATATATATATATTATATATATATATATAATATATAAATCAATATATATGTGTGTGTGTGTTGTTTGTGCGTATTGTGTGTGTGTGTGTGTGGTGTTGGTGTGTGACTGTGGTGGGGTGGGTGTAGATAATAAATATATAGAATATATATTATATATTATATATATATAAGTATATTATAATATATATATATTATAATAGTACAACTATTACTATTATTATATTATTATATATCTATAATATAAAAGTAATATATTTATATACACATATAATATATAATATTTAATTATCTCAAATCATCGAAATTGAGTGCTAGTTATAGGGTGAAGCTAGTCAACCTGTGGCTGGCCAAGATAATTAGGTGTGTGAAAGCATCAGGTAATGACGTCAAGAAATGATTTAAATTACTTACAAATATAGAGTAATATATGCATAATGAAGTATATAAATAACATATTACTACAATAAGAGCTTTAAAGTGCATTAATATGACAATACCAGCATAGTACATAGGTCAGTGATGGAATTTAATGCACAAAAATATTGTTCTTAGAGATAAATAGTCATGTAGTAATAATGATACATGGACATATAGTTTCTGCGAACGTCAAAATTGAAGCTTAATTCATGAGGTCAGTTGTTTGTGTAATATTTCAAATGTCCGGCATATATTAGCCTCAGAGATAGAACTAATAAGAAGAACAATAAGAACGCAAATTCTATAAAAACCTATTAATTCTATCTCCCTTTCTATAATTTTCACCCCTATTACTTAATGTATGCGTCGCTTGTAAATATTTAATCAATGGTACTTCCAAATATATTTTTCAATATTGCATTAATTTTAGCCCATACTTTAAATTGCGGAATTTCTATACTTCCAAGTTCCATACCCCGAAAAAATGATTGGTAAGGTTTGATATAAGGGCTCGGAGTTAATCCCCGCCCAACACCCCCAACGTGAGGACATATACAAATTCTCTCCCATTTCTCGTTTGTATGTTACGCAAGATGAGCTGCATTTCAACAATAGAATATTATTATATAATAGTAACTAATAATATACCTTTATATTACTGGAAACGTCAAACTTTCGTGCTTCCATGTACCGATCGGGAATGCTTCGATTTTATAAATTCACTCTTTTAATCATCATTTTGGAGCACTGTAGATGCCATGAATTACTAAAACACACACAAACACAACAACATAACTACTAGGACACAAGACAAAGACCACAGCAGACCAAATGACCCAATCGAAAACAACCTTTGCATGCCCACAGAATTACTTATAGGGTAAGATATAGTAACTATTAAATAAGGAATAATTGAAAAGTATAATGATTTTATAAACAGTAATATAATAATTAAACTTTAATAAGGCTTAAGATGAAGTAATACTGTAAATTTTAAAAAGAGGAGAAATATATGTAGCATACGTTGATAACGTTATCTCTCTAATATGTGATAGTAATAAAATAGAGAATCTGAAATAAATAATATCCCAAAATTGATTTATTTTCGATTTTTCCAAAGTCGTTATTATTTCGGCGGCAGAAAAAAATGATAACCCGCGATGTATGTGACGGTCAATTTCAGAATATGAATCACAGCGTCTTAACCGATAATTCAAAGTATTACTAATTATGACGAGAATACATCAAATACCAAAGACTATAATACCAGCCGGCAGTGGAATCTGTAAGTTCATCGATTATTCCGCACGAGGGACATTATTAGGTGATACAATCTTCTATTCATTAGAGTATGAAATGCCTATTTATCTTCGAAGAGTTAGGAATGATGTTAATGATAAATATTTTAATCATAGAGGGTTATGGTTGTTAGGACTAACGTACATTGCATTATTTTATAAGCCGTTGAGATAAGTTTAGTAATGCCAATTATCTTCTAACCGACATGAGTGGCGTCGAGACCCGAAGAGATTGAAATGAACTGGTTTAATTACTTTATAACTATATTTATAATGTTCTATAGAAAATATCGAACGTGTTGATTCCACGTTCTGTATGGTAGTATATAAATTTCATAGCAGTGCATGAAGTCATAATCTGTGTCACCCTAGTGGATTTGTAGAGGCCTGTACTATGACATTATGACGGCAGTGGAGTATATTGGCATCTAGGTATTTTAAATATTGTGTTTGTTTTATCTTTAATTGGGTTGATTTAACCTACCCTTACCTCTGTGTATAAGTAATTTCATAAATGCATCAATAGCTAACACTGCTTACTGCAGTCGGCACACTGTTTGATCGCAAAACCACATAATTGATATGTGATTGAATACGCTACAATTACTAAAAAGTCTCAACTTTACTTCATGAGTGTATTGTTAAATGCGCTGTTTTTTTGATTTACTATGAGATAAATAAATTATAAATTGGAATGCCGACTGGTTTTGCAAATCCGCATGTCTGGTTAACCACATTCTGTATTCGTCATAGAGCACATATTACAGGAGCTTATTGAATGATGATTTTCAAGGTCAATTAAGTACACTGGTTTGACACATGGCTTTAAAGTTGTCTCTCAGACTTAAATAAGCATGCACAAAAATCGAATGATCCATAACTCTCCTTGCCTGTCTGTGGTTCTTTTGGCCTTATTCATAAAATAGTCTAAGTTAGACTTTAATGATATTTCGGTAACTAATATTTAAAATTATGTGAAACTTGTATAATTATATATACAATGCAGTGGCGATGTTTTGTTTAACATTAAAATAGCATTTGAAACCATATGTATCTCGAAGATATTTACTTCCGACTTGTACTAATGTGTGTGAAACACTTCGTTATGTGATAAATTCAACATTATTTACAACAATCTTCTCTCCTCTCATAATCTAGTTTTAAGGGTATAATAGGAATTAATACATACGAACTAGCCGGGGATTGTCGTAAAGTAACTCGCGGAGTTGATTTAATCTTTTCGTTTAATAACAAGGCATTTACTATATAGGGATTATTTGGGTTGATAAGGATACACTCATGAAGTCTCGGTTCATTTCATCCAAATATTTTTTATTGATCGGTGATGTAAATTATATTAGCAGCTACAGCATTACTATTATATTGAAAAACAGTAATTATTCAAAGAAAAAACATTTTATTAATGTATAGACACATGAAGGATAATTATCAATAATACATCATATAATTCTTCTCAATTAACAAAGGTAATGTTTCAATTTAAATCTGATGTAATAACAGCAGTAATTCACTGTTATTTTAAAGCACTATAAATTATATACTATTTTGAACAATTATTAACACGTAGTAGACACACCAGACTAGCTTCGGACATTTGCAATAATGCGTTTCAGGGGTAGTGCTTTTGTTAAACAAGTTCGCTTGGGACTTGAAATCTCATTAGCGGCTCCCGCACGTCGCATTTTCATAATTTTAATGGTGACTGTAAGGCTGCTGCCAGTTTAAAATTTATGGTTTTATCCCATTCTATTTTCTTTCGCCTCTATAAGGATGGCGGTGTTCCATTTCTCTCTCTACGCGCGTCGGTGTCCTGTAAACTTCTACTGTACTTGTTACTCAGAATTGATGTTATATGCATATATCTGCTGTATTGTGTAACGATGAGAGATTGGATATGGCTGCTGTA